GGGGGGCTGAGTGAGTGGGCGGGGAAGACACTCTCCCAGAGAGACAAGGGCAGGTCGAGAGAAGAGGCAGAGGCAGATTGCGGCTTCCTTAGGGGCTGCCCAGGGAATAGCTGAGATGCAGGACACAGTAGGAAGTCCTCCTGAACTGGCCTTGGCTCCTCTCCCTCTGCCCCAGTCACACACTGTGCTGCTAATTTAAAACAAAGCAATACAGAGCCCCGGCTGGCTTCGGCTTCGTTTTGGAGCCTTACACTGCAGAGCTTTTATCTGTCAGTAAGCCCTGCATCAGCTGGCAGTGGCTCAGCCTGCATCCTGGGGCTTGGCATTGGTGTGGGGACAAAGGGCCCAGAGCTGAGCCACCTCCAGGGTCTCTTTGGGGACACTACTCCTTGTTGGAACTCAGGAACAAGAGTTCTGTGGTCACAGGGCTCAGAAGGATGGCAGTTCCACCTAAGAGCCAGGAAAAGATATAGTGGCCGAAGGAGAGAGGGAAGGGAAGAAGGGAGGAATGTAGGGAAGGAGAGAGGGAGGGAGGAAGGGAGGGAGGGAGAGAGAGAGGGGGATCTGGGAAAAGCCTTATCACTGGACTCATCAACTCCCTTCATCCTTTCCTTGCTGCCTCTTCCAGGAAGCCTTCCCAGCTCTTTAAAATTCTACTGGCTTGGAATCTAGGAGATTGAAAGATTATAAAATAGTGGTTTTCAGTGCTATCTGGGAACTCAATATATAAAATATGAGAAAGCCCAGTTGCTGTGAATTAAGTGTTAGCATATGTCTGGGTTGTAGACCCCTGAGGGAGGAAGGGGGGAGGGAAGGAACCACTGGTCATGGCTACTATCATTTCTGCAGTAAGTAGCAAGCAAATTCTATTTCACACAATTCCTGCTTCCTCTCTTTATTGACTGCTTATGTTGTGCCAGGCACCTAGGGAACCACTTACAATCTGTTAGCTCATCTCATCCCCAGCTCAGGCCCGCCAGGTAGAACTATGATTGTCCGCATTTTGCAGATGAGTTCGGTGTGGCTGTGGGTCTGTGTGTATTGTGAGGACCTGAAGCTGGGAAACCAGGAATATGATTATAAAAATCTCCTTGTGTAGGCAAAAGGAGACCAGGGGACCCACTGGAGCAGGAGGGAGATATGTTGTGCCACATTCATGGGCTCAGTCCTATAACCAAAGGGAAGGGAGCCTGTTTGCAGCAGGCAGGCAGACAGGCAATGGTGAGGCGGATCCAGGTAGAATGGGCAGGGGTGATGGGGATGGAGAGTCAGGGATGATTTCAGAGACATGGATGGAAGAGGAACAAATATTGGGGAAAATTGAGAAGAGTGTTTGATGTGGGTGTCAGGTATGCCGGGGCCTCTGTTTTTGAAAATTCAGTAGGCTGAACACACATAGTGTGTGCACTGCCGTGTTTAAGCCCTATTTTAATTTAAAAACAGAGTGGGAGCCATCGGGGTAAAAGTAGAATAGGACACATCATTACAGTCTCTCACCTGGGTGTCACCCAAGACACCAAAGTGGCGCTCAGAATTTCCCTAATGACCCGAGAGCTGGTTTTCCTCACACAGTGCACGTTTGCTTTGTTTGGAGGAAGAGGAGGAAAAGGATCTGAGTTCTGAGTTGAACTTTGCAACATGGGAGGAGTTGGCCAAGAGTCATCACATTTACTGTCATTGATGAAGTTCTTTCAATATTTCATGGAGTCTGAGGCACGCTTTATTTTTTAATGTTTTAATGTCTCTGAAACCAGGACACATCAATATAAAAAGGGACATGTCATAATTAATTAACTGACCGTGTTTTCTTTCTTAGAAACCCATAAAATACAACCCAGAGTCTTATATTCAAAAAATAGGATAGTGTATGGCAGGCTCTCTGCTAAGTCTTGTGTACGCATTCCTCATGCAATAACTGATAATATGAGTTATCAGATGTTGTGAGCCCTTGTTCCCAGATAAGAAGTTGAGGTGTGGAGTAAGAAAGTCCTTGCTCGGGGTCACCGAACTAGTTAGGGCTGAACTGGGGATGTGAGCCTGTGCCACCTCAGATCTGTGGGATCTTAAGTACAAAGCAAGACCATGTCTGTGACCTGGAGGGTGGTGCCCCTTCCTTCCCACAGCCTGGGATCATCAGGCCTACAGCGAATGCCATCCCCCAGCTCACCGTCCTGCAATGCTGCCTCCTGTCACCCAGCACCAGTCTCCCCTCTTGGCCTTAAACCCTGGGATTCTTTTCTCCCTCCCAGAAGGGCTCGGGGTCCAACATCTGCAGTGACCTCCCTCCTCCACGGAGAGGAGGGGGCTGAAATGAGATCTCAGGGAAGAGGGGGAAGACATTCCGAGCCCAGCTGGTTTCTCTCACACAATGATTTGCTTAAATGGGAATTAGGATTAGTGCTGGATTTTGCCTCGCCTGGCAGAATGGTAATAAACTAATCTCCTCTCGGGCTGCAAGAAAGCAGGATTCCTGTGAAGACAGGAGACAGCTTCGGGCTCGGGAGTGCAAAAGCTGGAGAGTAATGTGGTTATTGACAGGCCTACTCTCGCCGCTGACGCGCAGCCCCCAGCGCCTTCCCTGAGCCACTGCGGCCTTTAATTTCGTTAATGTGCGACATTCACCCGGGCTGCGTGGCTGACAGGCATGCTTGACATTAATACGTGTTCCTCCCAGTCCCCAGAGCTCATAAAAGCTCATTATCAGTTCTGAGCCAGTAAATGTAGTTCCCGGCTCAGGTGGGCCCGAGTCTTCAGAAATGCCCCCTGGGCAGCGAAGCAGCAGCCATCTGCGTGAGCCAAGAAATCTACTCCCCTCTTTGTCCAGGGGACTCATAGTCCCAGGCCACTGGGCGGTGACGGGCACAGCCCTTCTGCCAAGAGAACCCTGGCTTCCAATTTGCATCCAAGAGAAAGGGCTCCTTCTGCCCTGCGATGGGTGGGGAATCCACCCAGCATTTTGGGAAGGCGGTTTGTCTGCACCCAGTCAGAGGTGGACTGTGCAGAGCCTCTGCCCAGCCAACCCACATCTAGGCTTTGGAACTGCATGGATGTTTCCACACAGAGATGGGGGGGGGGGTGTCACTGCAAGGTTTCAATGGCCAGAAACATCAACACCCCATGTATCCACGGGTGTTTCTCAGAGAGTGGGTGCACTCAGAGAGGAGGAAACTATATTGTGGTCCACATGCACTACGGGGCACTCTGCAGCTGTGAAAACGGCTCCGAAGGTCTGTATCGTGTCACAGTCATGGGTAGACATGATATCCCTGATAGGTGGCCTTGTATGTAGAACATCTGTGGCAAGATCCCCTTTGTATAAAGTCACACTGTCTGCACGAGGGCTCACATAGAATGACACTTAGAAGGGCACACAGTATAAGGTCTTTGCAGAGATTCTATCTGTTAATGAGGATGCATGGGTAAGGAAGAACTTTCAGTGTGTAGTTAGAAAATTGTAATATGCATGTTATATACGCTGAGTGGCCAGATTATTATGATCTCTGAACGCATAATAATCAGGCCATTCAGTGTATATTCCTATATAACAAAAGGCTAATATGCAAATTGTCCCCTTAATCTGGAGTTCAACCAGCAGGCAAGCTGGCCAACAGCCATGTCTCCTCCCCCTGGCCAGCTTGGCCAGACCACACACACACACACACACACACACACACACACACTGAGTGGCCAGATTATTATGCGTTCAGAGATTATAACAATCTGGCCACTCAGTATATATCATGAATTCCTCTGATTGCAGCCTTAGTCTGGCCCCCAATGCATGAGGTCCCCAGGCTGACAATGTCTGGATGAATGAGGTAGAGGTAGAGGTAGAGATAGAGGTAGAGGTAATATCCTCCGGCCAAGCCCTGTTCCCCATCAGTTAGCAGGGAGTCCTGAGAATGCCCTCTGTGAAGATGATGCACTGCAGAGCAGACCTTGCCCTCAGGGCTCTCCTGCTTGCACTTCTCTCACTGTGGAGATCACACTTGCACCAGGCTTGACTTCCTAGGGACCCGAGTTCTAGTCCTCATTCTGCCCCAGTTCAGAGCTAGGACTATGGGTAAGTTAGTTAATGTCTCTGAATTCCTGGTCCTCACCCCTGAAGTGATAGTACTTTCCCATAGACTTGGGGAGGGTGTCAGGATGCTTGTCATAATTGTTTCAGGTAGCCTGAAACTCCATCAGGGCTTCCACTGTGCAGCCTGTCCATTGAGGGCAGTGGAGCTGGGAGGGGGAGGTTAGGGAACTTGGCTCTGCCCTGTCTGCTCTAAGTTTCGCTTTTGTTCCTCAGCTGTGCATATGAATGACCTGGTCCCCTGAGACTGGCCTAAGCCCTGCAGGCAGGTGTGTGGCCTGGGCACAGTGAATTTGACCCTTCTCCTATGACCTGGGACTCAGTCATACTGACAGAGGACGTGGAGGGCTGGGACCTTGGCCTCTGCACTCTGGGGCTGAGCTATTTTTTCACCACCAACAGCCCCTCCTCTTATGACTTATCTCTTCATGGATTCCAGATCTTGAAAGTTTTGTTCTGCCCAAAAACCCTGCTTTCATTAGGCAATGATTAATCCCCTTTCACATTTCAAAATTACTCAGAGCGCCGTTTTTTTTCCGCCCAAGGAAAATGGAGTTCCCACACCAAGTTGATAATATTCTAGCCAGAAGCAAAGACATGTGATGTGATATTGTAATTAGCATGCTCTCAAAGTCATCGCATGGGCATTGCACAGGCTTTGGGGTTGATGGTAGCAGACGGAAAATATGCCTCAATCCATAGGCACTGGGGATGCCATCCTGGGAACCTGTGTGGGTCTGGGTGCTTAGTTCTGTCTTTCTGGCCACAGGGACCCTGTCTGGCTGCTGCGCCTGCAGAGGTGCAAGGAGGGAGCGTGCACTCAGAGAGAGGGTGCATATCTGGACTGAGCTGGCCCCCAGAATCCCCATGTCCTGCTAACTTATGCCTTCTTAAAGCTTATTTCTCTCTCTTCTCCCTCCAGAGTGTCTTCTGAAGCCATCATCAGAAAGAGACCTCAGGAGAATCCTGACACCCCTGAAAGGAAAAGATCGGTTGGAAGAGGTATGATTTTGGTATCATGGTGGAGTGGCATCTCAACACATTCACATAAGAGGGTCTGATCTCCTCTCTTCTCTCGCTGCCCTCCAAGTCCTGCATGAGAGAGCTCTTAACTCGTGCTGGGGGGAATGCAGGGCAGGTGAAGAGTCGCTTTACTCCTGTTGCCACCCCAAATGTTTGCTCAGGAATGGGGAGCAAGTGTGATGTGTGAGGAGAGAGCTGGTGCTCAAGTGGGGTCTCATGAGGCCGGTTGCCCTGTTGCAGGGGCCGCAGGTCAGGGTTGCTCCTGAGTCCATCCAGGAAGTGAGGGCCGAGGGATGGGAGGGAGGGAGCCCCTGGAGGGAGCTGCACCACTCGCCTGATGGCATTTGAAGTTTTGGTTGCTTCTGCTGCCCGTAGTGGGGAAGCACTGAGTTACTATCTTCATCACAGAACCGAGGGTCCCCTGCTCTCCCAGTTCATCCTCTCGCTTTCCGACTGTGCTGGCTGGCCAGCATTTTCCCAGCTGACATCCAAGGCAGGTTGGCAGCTCCCTCAGGCAGGTAAAGCAGGGCCAGGCAGAGGCCCGAGTGGACAGCCTCATTGGAGTGGCTTGGCCTGGCACTGGAGTGGGCTCTCTCTCACCCCCTCGATAGCACCTGTGCCCTGCAGCGCCCCAGCCTGGCCAGCTCTCAGGCCACAGTGTTAATTGTAAGCCTCCTGGCAGCAGATGCCCTATCCTCACAGGAAGCTATTGCCTTATCACAGCGTCTGGATCTTGCATGGCTTTCTTACTCAGGGGAAGGCTCTGAAGTGAATCGGAGAAGGCATAACTTTCCCGGGACCTTTCTGCTACGGATGTTTCTCTAATCAGAGGAAGTCGGGGGCCTGGGTGAACAAAGGGAAAGAATAGCTTTCTTTAAAGTGTATTTTTATTGATTTCAGAAAGGAAGGGAGAGCGAGAAAGAGATAGAATCACCAACAATGCCCCACACTGAGGATGGAGCCCGAAACCCAGTCATGTGCCCTGGCAGGAAATCGAACCATGACCTCCTGGTTCATAGGTCGATGCTCAATCACTGAGCCACGCCAGCCAAGAATTTCTTTAAGTGCATTAAAAAGAAGCAAGCGTGCTCTTGTTTCTGAGCTACCTTCAGGGGGTGGTGCAGTCAGCAGAGTGATTTAGCCTTCCCCCTGTTGTGAGCCAGGAAACAGATCATTGGTAGAGTCACAGGAAAAAATCAAAGGTGATCAGATGGCCACAGGCAGACAGCCATGTGCTGCTGTGGGAATGTTTGCTGGGGTTTGGGAGTCAGACGGGTGGAAGCCGAGCCCCAGCTCCGCCTTCTCAGTAGCTGTTTGACTTCGGGCGAGTGATTTGATCTCCCAGAACTTCAGTACTTGGCAAACCACCGGGTGGTTGTGAGGGCGAGGAAACTGCCAGCAAGGCCTACCTGTTTGCTTTGAGCGATGGCAGTCCCCTGGACTAATGTGGCCTCCCAAGGTGACCTCTTTGAAGAGGTTCAGGCTCTTGAGATGTGAGAGCTGGGTGTTATGGCCAAATAGTGGGGTTACCCTGGAGACACATACCTCTTTTCGTGCCTGGTCTAAAAAAGGTCTGAGTATGGGTCCTGGGTTATGTCAGCTCTCGGTTCTGAGAGCTGGGAGCCACTTCAGGTATGAACTGAGCCTTTATCTCGGGGTTTACACTTGGCCCTGATGATGCTCTTTGAAATACACTATTTAAAAAAAATATTTTATTGGTTTTATACAGAGAAGGATGGAGAGGGATAGAGAGTTAGAAACATCAATCAGCTGCCTCCTGCACACACCCCACTGGGGATGTGCCCACAACGAAGGTACATGCCCTTGACCGGAATCGAATTCAGGACCCTTCTGTCAGCAGGCCGACGCTCTATACACTGAGCCAAACTGGTTTCAGCATGAAAGACACTATTAAGAGGAGTCAAAGACTAGGAAAAAATATTTGCAAAAGATAGATAGGTAAAGGACTGTTATCCAAAATAGCAACGAACTCTCAAAACTGAACAATAAGTAAATGAACAACAGATTAAAAAATGACAAAAGGCCTGAGCAGACAAGTCACCAAAGATATACAGATGGAAAACAAGCATGTAAGAAAGAAAATGCTCAACATCATATGTCATTAGGAAACTTTAAAAAGAAATAAACTTAGCATTATTCACACAATATTATGCTAAGTGAAATAAACCACATACACAAAACACATACTATAGGATTACACCTATATCAGGTACCTGATATAGGTGTAATCCTATAGTATGTGTTTTGTGTATGTGGTTTATTTCACTTAGCATAATATCCTCAAGTTTCATTCATGTTGTAGCCTATGTCAGAACTTCCTCCTTTTTTTGTATGTGCTTAGTTAAATTTTGCTTATCCATTCATCATCAATGGATACTTGCTTCATGGTTTAGCTATTGTGTGAATAATGCTAAGTTTATTTCTTTTTAAAGCTGAATAATATTCTGTTGTCTGGGTGTGCTATGGTTTATTTATCAATTCATCTCCTGAAGGACACCTGGGCCACTTCCAAGTTTTGGCAATTATGAATAAAGCTGCTATAAATATCTGTGCACAGGTTTTTTGGTAGACATACGTTTTCAACTCATTTGGGTAAATACCAAGAAGCGCGATTGCTGGGTCATATGGTAAAAGTGTGTTTAAATTTGAGGGAAACTGCCAATCTACCTTCCCAAGTGGTTGTACCATTTGCATTCCCACCAGTAGTGTATGAGGGTTCCCGCTGCTCCACATCCTCCCAGCATTTTGTGTTGTCAGTGTTTTGGATTTTGGCCATCCTAATCGCTGTGTGGTGATATCACATTATTGTTTTAATTTGCAGTTTCCTAATGACATATGATGTTGAGCATTTTCTTTCTTACATGCTTGTTTTCCATCTGTATATCTTTGGTGACTTGTCTGCTCAGGCCTTTTGTCATTTTTTAATCGGTTGTTCATTTACTTATTGTTCAGTTTTAAGAGTTCGTTGCTATTTTGGATAACAGTCCTTTACCTATCTATCATTTGCAAATATTTTTTCCTAGTCTTTGTCTCCTCTTAATAGTGTCTTTCATGCTGAAACCAGTTTGGCTCAGTGTAGAGAGCGTCGGCCTGCTGACAGAAGGGTCCTGAATTCGATTCCGGTCAAGAGCATGTACCTTCGTTGTGGGCACATCCCCAGTGGGGTGTGTGCAGGAGGCAGCTGATTGATGTTTCTAACTCTCTATCCCTCTCCATCCTTCTCTGTATAAAACCAATAAAATATTTTTTTTAAATAGTGTATTTCAAAGAGCATCATTTAAAAAATTTTAATAAAGTTCAGCTTATCTTTTTTTTTTTTAATGGATAATATCTTTGGTATTGTATTGAAAAAGTTATTGCCAAACAAAACGTCATCTAGATTTTTATTCTGTGTTGACTTTTAGGAATTTTAGAGTTTTGCATTTTACATTTAGGCTTGTGATCCATTTTGAGTGCATTTTTACAAGGATTATAAGATCTGTGTCTAAATTCACTCTTTTACATATGGAAGTCTAGTTGTTCCAGCACCATTTGTTGAAAAGACTACCTCTTTTCCTTTGTATTACCTTTGTTACTTTGTCAAAGATCAGGTGACTATATTTATGTGGGTCTATTTCTGGGCTCTCTGTTCTGGTTCACTGATTTATTTATTATTTCACTACTACCAGGCTGTCTTGATTAATGTAGCTTTATAGCAAGTCTTGAAGTCAGGTATTATCAATTCTCCAACTTTGTTTTTCAATATTGTGTTGACTAGTCTGGGTCTTTTACCTCTCCATATAAATTTTAGAATCAGTTTGTCAATATTTACAAAACAACTTGCTGAGATTTTGACTGAGCATGCATTGAATCTGTAGATCACATTGGAAGGAACTGCCATGTTGACAATATCAAGTTTTCCTATCCATGAATATGGAATGTCTATCCAATTATTTATTTCTTCAATGTATTTCATCATAGTTTTGTAGCTTTTCTCATATAGATCTCTTGTGAATATTTTCTCACATTTATTCCTAAATATGCTATTTCTTTTGGTGCTAATGGAAATGGTATTGTGTCTTAAATTCAGACTGTACTTGCTCATTGCTGGTATATAGGAAGCAATTTATTTTTGTATATTAACCTTGTATTCTGCAACCTTGCTTTGCTATAAATGCTTATTAGTTCCATGAGTTTATTGTCAAATTTTTAAAAAGATTTTCTACACAATCAGGGCATCTGTGAACAAAGACAGTTTTATTTCTTCCTTCCCAATTTGTAAAACAAAACAAAGCACAAACCTGTAAAAAACAGAAAAACAAAACAAAAACTTCCTCCTCAATAATAAAAGAAAAATGTGTCTTATTATATTAGCCAGGGCTCCCAGTACAATGTTGAAAACCAGTGGTGAGAGGGCACGTCCTTGCCTTGATCCTGAACTGAGTGGGAGAGCTCCTGGTTTCTCACCACAAGTATGATGTTATCTGTAAGTTCTTTGCAGATGTTCTTTATCAAGTGGAGGAAATCCACCTCTATTCTTAGATTGCCAAGTTTTTAAAAAACCATGAATGGATGTTGAATTTTGTCAGTTGCTTTTTCTGCACCTCCTAATATAATCATGTGGTTTTTCTTCTTCAGCCTCTTGATGTGATGGGTTACTTTAATTGACTTTTGAATGCTAAACCAGCCTTGGATACCTGGAATAAATTTCCTGGCTCTGGTCTATAATTCTCTTTACATATTGCTGGATTTGATTGGCTATTACTTTCTTGAGGATTTTTATATCCATGTTAATGAGAGATATTGGCCTATGGTTTTCTTTGCCTGGTTTTGGTGTTAGGGTAATGCTGACCTCCTAGAATGAGTTATTAAATACTCTTTCTGTTCATATCTTCTAGAAGAGATTGTGGCGAATTAGTATAATTTCTTACTTAGGTGTTTGGTAGAATTCACCAATGAACCTATATGGTCCTGATGCTTTCTCTTTTAAATTAATCATTGATTCAATTTATTTAATAGACACAGGCCTATTCAGATTGCCTATTTCATCTTGTTTGAGTTTTGGCAGATTGTGTCTCTCAAGGAATTAATCTATTTTATCTACGTTAGTAATTTATGGGCATAGAATTAGTCATAGTATTCTTTTGTTATCCCTTTTTTATCATTTAAATTCTTTATTGTTTAAAGTATTACATAAGTCTCCTTTTCCCCCCATTGACTTCTTCCAGGCCACTCCCACCCCCCAGCACATGCCCTCACCCCCTACTGTCTGTGTCTATTGGTTCTGCTCATAGACATGCATGCAAGTCCTTTGGTTGATCTCTTATCTCCTCATCCCCGCCTTCCCTCATAGGGAAGTCTGTTTGATGCTTCTGTGTCTCTGGTTTTATTTTTGTTCATCAGTGTATGTTGTTCATTTTTATTCCACAAATGAGTGAGATCATGAGATATTTATCTTTCTCTGACTGGCTTATTTTGCTTAGCATAATGCTCTCCAATTCCATCCATGTTGTTGCAAATGATAAGAATTTCTTCTTTTTTACAGCAACATAGTATTCCATTGTGTAGATGTAATTGTGTTTTCTAATCCACTCTTCCGCTGATGGGCACTTAATCTGTTTCCACTGTGTATCATGGCTTAGTGCAGATGTATATGTGTACATGGGGGAATATCGAGTGGCATTGGGGCTGGAGATTGGAACTGGGTACAGAGAACTCCAAGGACCCTGAATCCTTATTCTCCACACAGAGGTGAACCTGTGTGGCAGAATCCCCTTGCATTGGGTCTGGCTGGCTAAGTGGATATCCTCTGAACTAACTGTCTTGTAAGCCTGATGTTTATTAAAGATTAAGTATAACAGTGCAATCATTGGAAGCTTACATACATATTTAAATTCATCAGCAACTATAGCAATTGTTAAGAATTTAGGGCAACAAAAATATATTTTTAAGGCAGTGTTTTATCACTGACATTGTTTAGAATTGTCAGCTTTTCGTGTTGTTTTTGTCTGTTTGCTTTTTAATTATCTACAGACAATTCCTCCCCTATGGCCTACAGATCGCTCCCACTACCCCACCCTTGGCACGCCAATATGGAGGTGTTTCCAAGTGAATTGTTGCTGGGGCTGGGGGAGGGGTGGAAGGTACATAGGAGATCCTGAAGAAGAGGGAGTCCTATGGCTGGTCCAGCACTATGACCAGGTAGCTTCCAATTGGGAGAGGTGTAGGAGGGCTTTCCAGGGGTTTTGTATAGGCTGAGGGGGGTGGGGGGGGGCAGCTCGGAACCAGGTGTCCAGGAGACCCTCAGTCGGTAGGTATTTGGCTCCAGTTCCTGACGGCTCCAGTTATGAGTGCCATTTGGGCACTGAAAGCTTCACCCTCAGGGTGACAGTGTGCCCAGTTGGATCTGATGCTGTGGCCCTCCTGGGGTCATTCCAGCCTTGTGCAGAGGGATGCCTTCCTCACCTTCCCTCTCCTTCCCTTTCCCTTTCAGCCATGCAGTCCTTGGAGGTGGCCAGTCTATAAAAAAATCTCATAAATACCAGGAGATAAGGATCCAGGGCTTTTGGTTTTTATTTCTGCCCAGACTCCCTACAGAGCCTTTTTGGTGGGAAATGTCCCTTTGGAGCTGAGATTTGCCTCCAGACTTCAAAGACAGGGCTTCTTAGGAACACAGGGCATCTGTTTAGACTGAACTTGCACCAAGAGGCAGGCATATCCACAGGAGCAGGCTGGGCAGAACAGGAGGGCGCAGAGTTTGCTTTCTGTCTCGGGGAGCTCCCAGGCCTGTCCCCGCATCCTGCAGTGTGTCCCCTTGGCTGGGTGGTGGCTCTCAGTAGGTGCGGAGGACTGGGGAGCAGGGGACCTCAGGACCAACGGAGGCCGGGCTTTGTGTTGCCTGCTGTCCACATGCCACCCAGGCTTATGACCACAGGGGCCTCCCCAGCCAGGAGTAGCCAGGAGACTCAGGGTGACAGGAGTTCCTCCAGCAGGGAGGGCCCATGTCCCTCAGAAGTCACTTTCCAGCTGGGATTTCCCAACCCTTGGCATTAGTTCTTCTTTACTCTCTTTCTCCACCCCTTTTTCCCCTCTCTCTCCTTTCCTCCTCCCTCCCTCCTTCCCTGAGCACCTCTTGGGATACCAAGATGAAAAATCCCCAGTCCCTGGCTTCAGCATCTGATAGAAAAATCTGATAAAAAACCTGATTCGCTCAAAAGGTAAGACAAGTTGACAGTTCTGTGTGCGTGTGTATGCTGTGGCTATGAAGACAATCAAACAGCGTCACAGAGAGCCTGGAAACAGAGGAAGGAGAGGTCATTCAGCCCCCCATCTCCGGACGAGAGGCCCCCTCGTTTCCTGCCTTTGTTCCCCCTCCGGCGCACGTTCGGCAGCGGTGCCTCCAGAAGGTCCGTGCCGTCCGGCTTCCTGCTTTTCTCTGCTCCCCGTCCTGCCGCCTCGCAGCTGCGCCGGCCTTCCTGGGCCGCGCTGGCCCGGGACGTGCAGCTTGTCTCTGCTGCTCAGGGCCTCTGCCTCTGGGAGGAGCGGCCAGGCCTGGTCAGTTCAACCACAGGACACCCCGTGACACTTGAACTTGGTGTAGACGCTGAGTAATTGTTTGGTGGAAGTCCCATGCAACGTTGAGTCCCCACCCTCGGCACGCCAATACAAATCAAAAATGATTTGTTTTCTGAACCTTAAACGTAATGGAGCATCCTGTATTTCACCCAACAGTTCTATGTCCAGAGCAGCTCTTTGCATGTGTTTGTCGATGCTGTTTTGTTGGAGGACTGAGAACACGATCTGGTGGATGGGTCTTCTTTCTCATTTTGGGGGAATAGCCTCCCTCACTTGAATCTCTCCCTTCTCTTGATCGTGCCTCTCTGACCACTCCCATTGGCACTGTTCTGTGGCTTTGCACACTTGGAGGTCACGGGGTCTGGCCCCGATGGTCCCCCTAAGCACATCCATTCCCCAGCCTCTTTCTGGGAGCTCCCAATGATTACAGATGTGGGGCTTGCTCCCTGTGGGGCGGAGGGGGAGGTGTGAAGGAGCACTTCCTCTTGCGCCCCTCACACTGCTTTCTCCAAAGCTCATCTGCATCGTTGGCAGCGATGGCTCTAAGCCCTGTGTTTCTGGAGCAGAGGGAGCAGAGGTTCAAGGGTCCAGAGGCTGCAAGCCCACAGAGGCTTCTCTCCCTCCCTCCCCCCTCCCCCACCCCACATCTTTATCTCCATCAATGAACTTACTTTTCATTCTAAGGCAGCCTCGGGGTGATAAAAACATACATCTAACTGGAAGACAGTAGAAAACAAGTGATTGACTGGAGACAGGGAAAGGCAGTGTTGCCTTGTGGTTAAATGGATTTTCTGCTTAACTGAGGGTTAAGCAGCAGACTCATTGAGATCCAACCTCTGTTGCTGCAAATCTTTCTAAAATGTATTAGCCTGCTCCCTGGTTTTCCTGAGTGCACCATAATGACCATAATTGAATCTCTCTGCTGGTGGGGCATCCTGCAGGGCATCGGGTGCACTGCTGGAAATGTCAATCCTCTGGGCGCAGCCGGTTCTCACACCTTGGGACTGTGTGCTTCGCCATGGTCACTGCTACCTCCTATCTTCCCAGTTGCCCTGGGCTGAGGCTGAAGAAGGGACCACTTTACAGATGTGGAAACTGAGGTCCAGCTAGTGTCGGACTTGCCCCGAGTCGCTCTCTGGTGGAGGAGCTCGACCCGAAGCCAGCCGAGGCTGCGGTGGTGAGTTGGCCCAGACTCCCTTGCTCGCGGGAAGACCTTGAAGCTGTGTGAGCCTCACTTTCTTCGCCTGTGAATTGGGCGTAATAACCTTTCCTTGAAATGCTCTGCTGAGATTAAGTGAGGTAATGATATGAGTGGGCCTTCCTATATTGAAAAGGAAAATGGCACACACATACTCTCTCCCCTGACAAAGTCAAACGTGCGCTGGTTTGGGTCCCTGCATCCATCTTCTTTCCACGATCCTGCCTCCTCCCCTCCATACGCTAGTGATTTTGCATACAGACCCAGAGCCGGAATGTCTGGGTAAAATCCAGATTCTCTTGTGGACTCCCTGTGCAACTACATTTCTGGATCTCAGTTTTCCCGTCTGTATGATGGGGATAAGAATAGCAACAGGCCTCTTGGGGATGCCATGGTGATTCAGAGCAAGAGAGCTTGCCTTGGGGCAAGTGTTTTGCCCTTTGACACTTTTATTTGCTCTTGTCCTTCTAGGACTTGATTGAGTCCAGGTTGACAAGCTTTCCTGGATGTGGTTCTTAGGATTGGGCTCAGAGCCTGAGTTCCCTGTTGGTGCCCCCAGAGTTTGCACGGTCCATCTGGAGAGAGAGATAGAGATCCCCCTCTCTTTTTAAAAAAATATATTTTATTGATTTTTTTTTACAGAGAGGAAGATAGAGGGATAGAGAGTTAGAAACATCAATGAGAGAGAATCATCCTCCAGAGAATCATCCTACTGGGGATGTGCCCACAACCAAAGTATTATACACGCCCTTGATGGGAATCAAACCCGGGACCTTTCAGTCTGCAGGCTGACGCTCTATCCACTGAGCCAAACCGGTTTCCACAAGATCTCCCTCTCTTGAGTCTGCTTCCTGTCCCTGATTGGCTGAGGATTACCCTTCCTGAGGTGCTCAGGGTAAGGACACCAAGAGGACCTTGGGTAACTGCTGAGGGCCGCTGGTGACTGAATAGAAGACTTCTGCCCTGACAGAGACCCTGCCAGGGGATGCTAGCTTCCAATAGCCCCCCTGTATGCCATGCATTTCTAACATTTGAGAAGGCATTTGTTTTTCTCCTTACCAAGGGCTCCACTTGGAGCACAGAGGCCTATCTGTGTGTGACCTCTGGACCCTCCAACCAGAAGTCATGCTGGGGGAGGCAGGGGACAGTCTGCCAAGCCAAATCCTGGCCAGCGAGGCCACCTGTTCTGGCCTCTGGGATGCTGGGTCCGCTACTCCTGGGGCCTTGCAGGCAAAGCTACGTCAGCTCCTGGGTGACCGGCACTGACTTCTGCCAAGCCACCCCCTGGCTCTGTAGGTGACCCACTTCTGGACGCCCTCTGGGACTCTTTGGGGGTAGCGGGGTGGTTACACCTAAATTAATACAGTCACCTTCATATTTTAAAGCAGAAATAGCAGTCTGTGTTTTAAGCCCCTGGGTCGGCTGGTTTATTTATGCATTTCTTTTTAATGGGAAGGCTGAGAGGAATTACGTGGTTTTGTGAATATTTACAGGCAAATTACTTCAGGGAGGAAATGAATTCATTCTCCCTCCTCTCCCACTGTTAACAGATCGCCCTGTGGTTCCTGCTGCCTGCCTCCCACATCCCTCTTTTTCTTTCTTGCAACTCCTTCAAGTCTACGCCCGCTCCCTAGGGAACGGCTGGAAAGAGGCATCCGTGTAAGGCTCCATGCATTTATTGAGCACCTGTGGTATTCGAGGCCTGGTTCAGGTGCTGGGGATACCAAAGAGAACAGCACATCTGCTCTCATGGGGGTCCCGTTGAGGGGAGTGTGGACGAAGAAGAGCATTGCTCTGTTGGAGAAGCCAGTTGCACTGTCTGCGGTCGCAAGTCCTGCTAAATAAATAGAGTCACCCTGGTATTTTAGGACAGAAACAGCCAAGGGAGGAACTGTCCGGCCGTCATGGGTCTGGTGAAGGCTGCAGGCATGGGGGGGTCTGTCCTGGGAAACTGCCCTAGCATTGACCCTGAGCCCTTCTCAGGGGGAGAAGCTTCCATTGTGCTCTCTTTTCTTCCAGCTTTGTGTGTTCCTCCTCTGTTCTCTCCCCTCCCCCAGGGCCCCTGTGGGCTCTGTCCTCAGTTTAAACCCAGGTCATGTGAAGGGAGACCAGCCCTCTACCCTCGGGATTCTGAAATGGGGCCAGGGAGAGGGTAGACATTCAAACTCTCTAGAGCCGTGGTCGGCAAACTGTGGCTCATGAGCCACATGCGGCTCTTTGGCCCCTTGAGTGTAGCTCTTCCACAAAATACCACGACCTGGGCGAGTCTATTTTGAAGAAGTGGCATTAGAAGAAGTTTAAATTTAAAAAATGTGGCTCTCAAAAGTAATTTCAATCATTGTCCTGTTGATATTCGGCTCTGTTGACTAATGAGTTTGCTGACCACTGGTCTAGAGCCTCCTCAGACCAGGCTGCCCTCAGATGCTAATACAATGCACTGGGCCCTTTCTGTATTCGGTGAGGGCTCCTCTTTGACTTGCTACAGGAAGGAAGGAGCGGGGCAGGCCAGCTGGGCAGATCCTGCGGAGGTGTAAGGGCTGGGAGGAACCTTCCTAGGCTGGGAACCTTCGGGTTCAGGACTGTGACTGACATTTGTCCCCCTGGGAGCAAATGGAGCACCCCATCCTGGTCTCTTTTAGATAGATACTGCCTTCGATTGCTCCTGATGGGCATACACACACTGGTTGTACCCCAAGCCTTCACATTCTCCCTGCACACGCCTATCCACATGCCTAAGCATACCTGAGCACATGCCTGCACACACCTACTCACACTCCTGCACACTCAACCTGCACCCACTCACCACCCATACATCATTCCTTTTGCAGATTTCCTTTCTCCAACTCACATCCTACCAACTCCTCTCCACCCTTCGTGTGCCCTCTCTCTCTTTGACTCTCTCTCTCATACTGCAACCCAACTTTTGGGTGGTCTTGCTTGTTCTTCTGCTCATGGTCTACAGAACACTGGATTACCTAAGATGCTTGACCCAGATGCTGAATCCATCAGGGCCTCTGGGGAGAATGGGGAAATTGAGTCAGGGAGGAACCCTGGACCCACTGCAGATACCGTCTGAGGCTGGTGCATCTCTTGACCCCTTTTATTTCATTTGTTCACTCATTCCTTCCAGCTTATATCGATAGCAATGACCCAGGCAAAAGCATGGCCTGTGCCCTTATGGGGCTTACCTTCTTGCTACAATCCACCTAATTAATCTTCTTCATGGATTGTGGTTTGTTAAGGAGAAAATGACATTGGACCTTATACTAGTTTTTGGAATCAGAAGCTCTGGAATCCAGGAAGGAAGGCGTGCCACTTGCTAGCTATGTGACCTTGCGCATGTCATATCATTCCATGAGCCTCAGTTTCCTCATCTGTAAAATGGGGATCAGGACGAGCTCTGGGCCCTGTGGAGAGCAGCTATGAGCGCCAGTTTGGGGACTTCGGTCTATCAACCAAACCCTTCTTAAAAAGGGTTTGGGGTGCAATGAACTAACTGCCTGCAACTGCCAGCTTTCTGGGGCTGGAGTGAGAGATGGGGACATGTGTGTTTCTATGTACTGCTGGGTCTCTGAGCCTGTCTGTAAAGTAACGACTTTTCAGCTGTGGTTTCTTTTTTCCTGTCCCTTTAAGAGAAAGCAATTGAGAACGGACTAGCTTATCACACACATTAGGAAATATGATGCTCTAGAGGTTTCTGCAAAGGGCAAGAGGAGTAGCCAGAGACGGTGGCTTAGTCATCAAGTGGCTGCTCTGGAGGGCACCCCGCCAGCCTTGTCGTCTGCAGCGGAGAGATAGGGAAATCTGTTGAAGGCTTGGAAAACTTCCCTGGCGTCTGCATGCTGGGCCCTGCTGGAGGGCATCCCACAGTCTCCACATTCCACAGAGGGGCCCTCTGAGTCTTACCTGGTCCCCAACCCCTGGGGGGGAGGGGGTGCTGCTTGGGACAGGTCCAGATGTTGGGCTGCCAAGGGCCTGGGGGACCAAGAGGTGACTGAGTGGCTGATGTTTTTTGTTTTGTTTTTTAATATTATAACAACTTTAATTGGTCATTGGAAAATGATAGCTAACTTCTAGAGACGTGACACCTAAACACACACACACACACACACCCCTTCCCCGCCCTCCCCCCCCTCCACATGCATGAATGCATGCACACACACATGACGAGATGACTGTTAGCTCCTTGATGGATGGGACACTATCTTATTTGTTGCTCTAGAGTCTAGAGGCTGTAATAGCACACAGTAGGGTCAACAGATATTTGGTGGATAGTGAATGAATGGAACCTTCCAAAAGTGTGTTCGTGCCTCTGTCTGTTCTGCCATGACGCTTGGGAATGTTTGGTACATAGGAATGTAGTGCCTTTAAAATCATCGAGGTACAATTTACATAGAGCTCAAACACCTTTCAACTTGTATACACCCATGCAATCCATACTTCCAGCAAGATAGAGAGCTTTCCCACCAGCCCAGAAAGTTCCCCTGCGCCCCTCTCAGTCAGTCCTCCCTCACTCCCCAGGGGCAGCCCTGATCTGCTTTCTGTCCCTATGGGTTAGCTCTGCTGCCTCCAGGCCCTCCTGGGGATGGAACCACACAGTTGGACTCTTGTATCTGATGTCCTTTATTCATGTCCTTTTGTTTAATGTTTTATGAGATCCAACAACGTTGTTGCCTGTATGGATAGCTCATTCTTTTTCTTCTTTCTTTTCTTTTTTTTTTAAATATATTTTATTGATTTTTTTACAGAGAGGAAAGAAGAGGGATAGAGAGTTAGAAACATCAATGAGAGAGAAACATTGACCAGCTGCCTCCTGCACACCTCCTACTGGGAATGTGCCTGCAACCAATGTACACGCCCTTGACCAGAATTGAACCTGGGACCTTTCAGTCTGCAGACTGACACTCTATCCACTGAGCCAAACTGGTTTTTGGCAAGCTTATTCTTTTTCCTTGCTGCATTGTATTCCATTGTGTTCA